AAAAAAAAAAAAAAAAAAAAAAGCTTTCCATTCTCACTGGCTTGCAAAGCGCCCTAGAGAAAGTGGAATCTTTTCCCACAAGGAATTGATGTATGTGCCATATGTAGCTGTGAGTTCAGTTCCTACGGTTTCCACAGCCAGGGATTGATTGCAGGACGTACCTGTCTGTAGCAGGTTTTGGAGTAAACTCAGCAGATCTGTAACTGAGGCAGGCTCTTCCTGCCGGTAACAAGACCAAAGATTTTGCAGACCATTAATTCATCCTTCTAATCAGCTGGAAATTTCAGAGGTGCTTGAAAGARTTGCCTCTTGGGCACCCTTGGAAATACCAGTTAACTTCATTACGCTTTTTGAGTCTAATCTGTGCTTTCAGATTGATCTTTTTCTCATCATGAAAATGTTAGGCAGGAGTAAAAATTGTTACTGCATCTTTGATAAGGAATCATGCAACATGGATCAAATAGTATAACTCAGTTTAAATAAGCTGAAATATATACAGTATTCTTAAAGAATGCAAACTCAGTTCTGCTAGGGCTGTCTGTCTTGTCCTGCTTATCTTCTGTAGAAGTGTAATTCTCAAAGGTTTAAGTCCTGTACTAATGTGCCTCACTCCTAAAACAGGACTACCTGATATAATTTGAGTTTATCCTCTTGGCTGGAAAGAGGGTAATTAAGGGAACAATAGAAAAGCTCATTAAAACTGCATTCAGGTTCAATGTAATGAAAAGTGAGCTTCCAGCGACAAGATGATTCCAAAATCATGCTTTTCTGATTTCTGACTGACATGGTTCCCCGCATTAGTCTGTGTTGAAGGGGTTGGGCTGTGCTGGTGTCCCTGTTTGCTTTGCTGTGGTGGTTGTGATAGACTGGAACAATAACCTTAATCCCAGGCACCTTCTCAGCCCTGAGGGAAGGGAGGAGTTCCGCAGGAGTTTACAATCTGCTTTGCATTGCATTTCCATTTCTTGGGTCTCAGGTTTTTACATCAGGGAAAGCATAAATCCAGCTACATTACCCCCAGCTTGGCTTTGCAGGCAGTGTCAGAACTGAAGCCAGCACAGAGCAGGCTCCAGGAGCCGTCTAAAGCTGTGAGCACCCTTGCATATATCCACTCTATTTTWACTGGGACTGGTTCCTTACAAATGGCCATGCTCATGCTAGTTACCATAATCCATGAAAGCTGGTTGTACATCCTGGGTTCTGCTTCAGTGAACTGGGAAGCCTGTCTGTCTAAAAACAAAATCACAGCAGCCAACAAATTGTTTGCTTGTGTAGTCAGCCCAGCCCAGGCTCTGTTTCTCTCCCCTGGTTGCAGCCTGAGATTGCGGGTAAATCACATGGCTGGATCGGGTGGCTCTGGGGAGGCTCGCAGGAAAAAGCAGTGCTGGATGGATGGGCCTTTTCAGTACATTTGCTGCCTTAGTGTAGACTTCCCATTTCAGGCTGACCCGTGATTTTGGAAAAGTGACAGATTTTCTTAAGATTGCCCGCACTCGCACGCTGTTGGATTATGGATTATGGATTATGGCTGTTGGGACAGCCTGTCACAGTTGTTTGGATGCAGGTATCACCTTTTATCTAACATTCTTACAGCATCAGTGAGGGTAGTAGAGGAGTTACTTTACCGTCACCTCAGAGCAATTTAGGAGATATGGATCTTGCTTTGCTGGGTCCTTCTGAAAAGGAAGACTTAAGTGGGATAGAGCGCCTTACTGCTATGAGGCTGCAGTAGGGGATCTTCTGGCCTCAGCAGAGCTGCAGAACTGCCTTAGGGCTCTGTGCAGTCAGGCCTGTTGATCAGCAGCAGGTTGGGATTGCACTGAACACGGTTGAGCATTTGTTCTTGACTCAGATGCTGAGCAGTTGGTGTTACAGCAGAGAATTCCATCGCTCCGTGACAGGCAGCTCAGCTTTTCCCTGATAAGAGCTTGACAAATGATGAAGCTTTGYTCATACTGGTTTTGAGCCTTAGTCCATGTTATGCTCATTGCAAATGTATGTACTTKGAGATTTTTCTCTTAAAGCAAATCCATGTAGCAGTACAAAGCTTCAAATCCAGAGCAGTGCCTCAACATTCTTGTTTCAGGTTCATCTCAGGAGGTAAGTGCCTGTTGCTGGCAGACACCGCAAGGCACGGATACTGCTGTTTTGAACTGTGTCTTCATGTTGAGTCTGCAGGGAACCCTGTTTAGAAGGGTTAGATAAACACAATTRGGCTGCATTGCCAGCAATGATGTTCTTATTTAATGCATTAATGAGTGCAGGTGGCAGGACCTCTGAAGTGAATTAAATGCAATGCAAACTCCTGCTGTACTAGCAGAGCCATTGTGAGCCATGAATGCTGAGCCAGCTCATCTGAGAGATGAGGTGGGAGATGGGAATGAGCTTCCCATGCCTGAATGATAATTTTGAGCATTACCTTACAGCACAACCTGCTTGTGCCAAAGCACCAAGAGCAAGCATGTTTTWGAGGTGCATTTCTGTCCATAGCAGCATTAAGATAAGTTGGTCATGGATCATCTGTTGGAAAAMAGATTTACTTGCTTGTCACCTTGTTCTGTTACCTGGTAGGATTCAATAATGCACTGGTTAAGAAAATTCTGCTCAGCCCACACCACCACCTACATAAATAAAGTGCTAGAACAACACCACCCAAGTCCCTTCCTTTCCTTCTCTAGGCAAGATGCTGGAATCCAGCACAATTACTGTGCTCTGCTGGCCTTTCCCACGGTGAAACCTGKTTTTTATTTCCTGCTGCTTTAACCTTAGTATCAGTGAAATGATCCCAGGAAAGCTTGTATTGATTGCACATGATTGTCTAATTAAAGTGCAATAAGAAGAATTGCAGAACACTCRCTCTCACAGCCCTGTGCTCATTGTAGACACTGTAGATTAGAAAGCTTTCTGTTCAAATATGGAAAATGTCAGTGCTTATTTCCTTTTGAATTTCCCAGCATCTCATGAAGGCTGCACTTGTAGATGTGTGATTATTTYTTTCCTAAACAACAACTGGAATGAAGTGTTATTTGGAGAAGAAATGAGGCCCTATGGACTTGCAGTGGCCCTGTTCTAACCCTGCTAGCTGTAACCCTAAAGGGAGGCACTTCTAAATTAATGTATTTCAGTCTGAAACCTAGATGATTCTTTAGCATCATGTGCACAAATATAAATGGATATCAATTATACAATATATAGAGACAAGTCTTTAAATAATGCTCTCTGGCCTTACCTGGAGGCTGTTGTTCTGTCTGGACTTASGGCTGCTTTGCTCCCTGTTACTTGTGGTTTGATACTTGCTAGTAACTTGGATCTTCCTGAGATGTGTGCAATGAGCCAWTTAAAAATAAACCTTAGTCCTTGATACATAGTAGGAACCCAAGAGTTTGTTGTTGCAGGAGTGCATCTTGCTTAGTCACTGACTGAATACGTATCCTTGAGGAAATCACCGAAYTTACCCAAACCTTCAGCATGCATCTCATCTCTAGGTGATCTGTGATTCACTGTGATATATTTACAGAGCTTCATGAATCATCAGTAMTTCTGCCCAAGACACTGGGCAGAAAGATGCTACAGAGAATGGTGGACTTTGAATTAATTAATGATTCATCAGTTGCATACAAAACCTCTTAAATACGTTCAGTATCATCAAACTGACTTTTCCCTTTCCTTCCCTTCCAGATGTACTTTCCGATTCCCTAGCACGGTTATAAAGATCCAGTTCACATCTTTATACCATAAAGAGGAAGTAAAAGAGGAAGCCTCAACGCATCCCCTTCGGCCACTCTACCCTCAAATATCGCCTCTGAAGATCCACATCCCGGAGCCGGATCTCCGGAGCGTGGTCAGTCCCCTCCCGTCCCCCACAGGCACGATCAGGTAAGATGTTCGTTGTCCAAAATGTGTTCTCTGACATTAGTCAGTCAGCCCTGTTTTGGTTGGTGTCCTTGGTGCAAGAAATGCCCCATTAAAAGTAACTAGTTAAATCTTCAATGTTCAAAAAAATGGAAGACTGCTAAAAAATATTATCGTGGCTGGCAGTAGGGCACAAGGGTTTTAAGAGCTCAAGGGTTCAAGGAGAAACATAAGTGTTGATTTCACACTATAGAGTTACATATAGAGTCTATCTTTGGCAGTGGAATTAGAAATATTTATTGAGAGCTACCTATATGCATGGAGAAAAGAAAGCAGGCATATACTTTCCATCTTAAGACTGCCTGTTGTATTTTTATCTCAGTAATACTCTGTTGTTGCTGGGTGGTGCTGCTSTTATCTGAAGTTAGGGACAAGAGTGGCCATTGGCACGTGGTTTCCTGGGAATGGAAGGAAATGGGGGTAGGATGCTGACTATGTACTGAGGGGCTGTAGCAATCTGAGTGTACATCTGGGCGAGTATCCTGTTTTGTAAATGATCTGATTTGTAGATGGGCAATAGAAGTAACCTGAACATCGAGTTATTGTTTGGAGTATTTTCTTTGCTTTTCAGCAAAGAGTTCAGGTTACAGAGTTTCAGTGAAATCATTTAAAGTTAAATCTGTTACTTGAAGTATAATATCTTTTATAAAGGAGATTTGTGGTATAGTATGATGTATTAGAATTTTAAAACCTGTGGGCATCAAAATAGTAAGAGCGTGCCTGGCATTAGTAGTAGCCTTTGGGTTGTTTTCTTGTCTGCACATTTGTAAAAAAGTATAATATGCAAATCTCTTCTGACAGCTCTAATTCAGTGAATAGTATTCAAATTTGCATGGCTGAGACTGAGACTTTAGTGTCACAATGAAGCCAGTTTGGGTTTGCATGTTCTGGAGGCTTGTTTGGGTTTTTCCGACCGTCTTACAGAGCCCCACAGATGTGCAGTGCAGATATTCTAGAAAGAGGGGGCTGGAGGTAGCTGTGGTTTTAGTCCTCTGTTCAGGCACTGCTTTTAGTTTATATTTAACCTTCTCTTTTTAGATGAAGCTTGTTGCTGGGAGGGGAGGGGGATGGTTCCTTTGCCAACATATGGTAGTTAGTTTCCATTCAGTCATCTTGTGCAAAGCAGCACAGTGTGGTTTGTGTTACTAACAGAGGCTGTATCTTTTGACTCTGGCATATGCCTGCAACTGATACTTGATTCCCTGAGAATGTTTCTTTTGCATAAGGAGAAAGTGGAAATGGTAGTGTTGAATTGTGCTCAGCCCCTAACACAGTGTTAACTAAGGATGATTAATGATTGCATCCGTTTGTCTTGAGCAGAAGCTAATCCAGCCAAGTCTTCAGAAAACCTCAAAAGACATCTGAGGTTTCGCTTGCCAAAGCCCTTTCATTTCCGAGTTCCTCTTGCAGAGGAGGGGCTGACACGTTTGTAAACATCCCTGCTCAGCCCCTTCAGCCTTGCCCTCTCCCCAGCAGGGTCTTGCAGCTCTCCCCTGGGGGCCAGGCTTCGGACAGTAATTTGGGTGTTTCTGCTTGAGAAGGGAGTGCTCCTTCAGGAGCATGTAGCCTGTGCATTTGAGCCATCTGGCTTCCAGGGCAGCTCTCTGCTCTCTTGGTGGCTGCACAGTGCTGGATGAGGCTGGCACAGTGTCCTCTCCTCCTTCCCAAAGGCACCTYTGGGAGGGCTGGTGGGGCTCAGCATGGAACTCAGACCCCTCTGCCACTGCTGGCTTTGGGAGGTGGTTGCATGAGCTGGGTTCTTCTCCTCCTCCGTCCTCTCCCCCTTCTAGTATTTACTTTCCTAATTTGGTGCGTTTGCCTTGCTCCTCCCTGATTGGCCCATGGAAAATTATTGCAGTTTGGAAATCCTGGGCAGGGTGAAATTTCCTTTTTGGAAAGTGGCTCCTGGCCCCCTTTTCCTGCCTCCGCCCTGGTGTAGGGCAGGGGCTGTACCTGCACTCCCACCACCAGATCCAGCRCTGCCCTCCTGACCCCCAGCCCTGTTCTGCCTCTCTGTTTACACTGCAGTTTGCTTCCCTGCAGGTTCTCCCCTGCAAGCTTCTGGKTTTTTTCCAGCCTGTTTATTTTCCCTCTGCAAAGTGCAGCGCCTAGAGAAGGGAATGAGCTTTAGTTAAACAAAACCAAACCTGCCACCCTCAGCAGCTTTGCAAAGCAAGATTCCTGCTAATTCCTGGGGAGAAATGTGCTCACTGTTTTCTCAGCTAGGTGTTTTGTCTCCAGGAGGGGCTGTGTGTGGATGTGTTTTGAATGCTGTTGTACAGCTGTAAGGGAAAATGTTGGTTGGCAGCATGCTGTGAGGGTTACAAACAGACATGGATTATTTCTTCCTGCTTTGAGTTCAAAACTCCTTTTTAAAAAAAATCAAGACTTGCATGTTCCAGAAAAGAAAAGGCCACTGTGGTTGTAAGAACTCAGTAGAAGCAGCCTGCCATTTTGCACAACATGTGAAAGGACAAAGTAGCACCAAATCTCTTTTCAGTAGTTTCAAAGCATTGAAAAACTGTGTGAAAATGACATGTGATTTGGTTGAATTCAGCTCTACCTTTAGGGGATAAAACTGAGTCACAATTCCAGGAGTTAAGGAACAGTCTTTCAGTACATGCCTTTAAGGTTCTGTGCCTTGGATTTGGAGGATCCCCTCTGAGTGACAGTGGTGCCATAAAGTCCCTCACTATGCTGCGAAYACCTTTGCCTGATTTTGTGATAAATCCACAATATCTGCATGTATGTGACCCTCTGAGTGTTGCAACCCAGTCCCCAGGGTGGCTTGTGCTTGGATTATTATCAGATCCACAGAGACAAGGTGTGATACAGGAGTTTGTTCCTTGTCTCAAAGTCGTGCTGAGTTGGGAGTTTAGATTTACAGTGTTTAGTTTCATTTTTACTATGGACCAGTTGGTGTTAATGGCTCTGTAGCAATAACTAAACACAGTTTACTAAACAACATCTTTCTGCAGCACTGCCCTTCASAACTGGGGTGGTTTTAATATTTATGAAAATTGAATTCTTTCTCTGTGCATGCTTCCCTATTCYAAACAGCAATTATGTTCTCAGTGAGATACATATATAGAGATACATAAACTACAATAAAGAAATACTTCATGTCCTATTGTGGAGATCAGTATTACTATTCATATTTTACAACTGCTACTTCTGGCTTATCTCTGGACCAGAATAACTTCAGGCTTGAACACTTTGTCTTGTTCTTGTTTGGGTTTTTTCACAGTAAGGCCACAGATACTTAGCTCACATWCACAGTCTTTATCAGTAAAAAAAATTCTTTGACATGTAGGAGTAAGAGTCCTTAGGGTCTTGTGAGAGTCACTGCTTGAAAAGTGCCTGGTGAGGTTCAGTGTTAACAGCTAAACTGGTACATATTCATGTGTGAAGCCAAATTTGTGTTTTAGCAGTTAGTACTTGGTGTGCCTGCCCATGTTTGGCTGTTACTAGAAGGGCTGATAACTAGTTTACAATGCAGTTAATGGTATGAATAATGAAAGATCAGTTTCTTTTGTTCYATAAGCTTGGTTGGTAAACCAGAAGATATGAGCTGAATTGCTTGGTTTCAGAGGCCATGGTCCTTTTTTCACTAAGAGAAATGAGTTCAGTAACACATTGCATGCTCTGATAGCAGATTACTCAGAGGTAGCTGCAATTATCTTGACTTAGCCACCAAGTTGTTTTGTGGCCTTTAACAGATCATTGTCTRATTTTTATGCATGCATAGTGCAATTATTACTTCACAAGCGTGTGTAGTAGATAAATTATGTATTGGGCTTTTACTCTGTAAAGCATGACAGGAGTGTGTGTGAGCCATGTTCCAGCAGACCTGCAGACACTGGCTGTGCTTTGAACCAGACTTGGCTTGGACAAAGCAGGGGCTTTTTAATAGGCTCTAGGATAATTGTGCACTGTTGTTGCACAACACTTGGGATTTAATCTGAATTTGCAGATGTGCTCGGAAGGTGTGTAGGGGGAAACTGAATGAACCCTGGTTTCAGTTGGATGCATTCACTCACTGGAGCAGGATGCATAAATATATTCCCTGCTCCGTTTCATTCAGGCTTTGCCTCTTCCCAGAGCACTGTGAGCCATTGAACTGAAACACTGCTGAAGAGCTCCAAGGCAGGTTTTTTGCAGGCTCTTTTGCATCGTCTCAGTTATACATTACTTCCTGCACTCAGGCAGAATGTACAGCTCCCACAGTTGGACAGAGCGGTGATTATTTTTAATTACTGAGTCTCCAAACCACAAGCCAAAGAAGGTGATGCATATACATCACGTAAGAGAAGCAACAATCTATGCTGGGCTGGGGAGCTCCTACGCATGTTTATTGCAGATAATAACCGTGTGCTAGAGGAGATCTGCCAAGCCATGTGTTGGAGGAAGGGTTGCAGATGTCACCAGTTACAGGAGCACTTCCTCTTCCCCKATGGGTATAAAATGTTCACTGAATCCACAGTTGGAGTGAGGTCACTTCCTTTCTAGGGGAACCACTGGAGCACTGACGAGTAATAACAATTTCAACTTTCGTGGATAGCTCACTTTCTCTCACTTGTGGCTTGTTCGACAGCTTTGATTTTCTTCAACATTAAGCAGGCAGGGTAGCTCTCAGATTTCTCCTTTCACATCAAAATCCAGCTCGGTTTGGCAGYCTCACCACTTGTGATTGCTTCTGAAACCTGTCTGAAACACGCAACGTGCAAGGACTTGCCTTTCTTTGAGTTGCGATTTTGGGGCTAGGCTGGGGAAGGTGAGAGCAGTGGAGAATTCTCAGCCATTCTTGCTGATTGGTGTATCGTGGAAAGGCTTGTTTCGCAAGTCCAAGGGYTGTACTTTGACCTGATTCTTGCTTATTGCACATAAAAAGCTTCCCTGTATCTTCATGYTCCTTTTTGCAGGCTCATGAAGTGGAATATTGGGGTAGTCTGAGGTTTGTGCTA